AGCACACTTTGAGATTAGGGATTGTGATGGCTCCAGAGGTTGCTTTATTGTACAGGATTCTTTTAACTATCCTGGGTTCTCTGTTTTTCCATATATACTTGAGTACTGTTCTTTCCAACTCTGTGAAGAATTGTGTTGGGATTTTGATGGGGATGGCATTTAATCTGTAGAATGCTTTTGGTAAGATTGTCATTTTTACTATGTTAATCCTTTCTATGCATGAGCATGGGAGATCTTTCCATTTTCTGATATATTCTTCAATTTCTTTCTTCAGAGTCTTAAAGTTCTAATCATACAGGTATTTCACTTGCATGGTTAGAGTTACACCAAGATATTCTATATTATTTTTGGCTATTGTTTCTCTGATTTCTTTCTTAGCCTGATTATCATTTGGATGTAGCAGGGCTACTAATTTTTTTAGGGAATCTTTTATTCTGCCACACTACTGAAGGAGTTTATCAGCTGTAGGGTTTCCCTCACAGAATTTATGGGTCACTTATGTATACTATCATATCATCTGCAAATATTGAAAGATTGACTACTTCCTTTCCAATTTCTGTCCATCTGATCACCTTTTGTTGTCTTATTGCTCTACCTAGAACTTCAAGTACTATATTGAATATATATGTAGAGAGTGCACAGCCTTATCCTGTTCCTGATTTTCATGGAATAGCTTTGAGTTTCTCTCCATTTAATTTAATATTGGCTGTCTGCTGGCTTGCTGTAAATTGCATTTATTATGTTTAGCCATGTTCCTTGAATTCCTGATGTCTCTAGGACATTTATCATGAAGGGGTATTGGATTGTGTGGAAGGCTTTTTCAGCATCTAATGAAATGATGATTTTTTCCTTTCAGTTTTTTATATGGTGTATTACATTGACAGATTTTTGTATGTTAAACTATTCTTGCATCCCTGGGATGAAGCATTATTGATCATGGTGGATAATATGTTTAATGTGTTCTTGGATTTGATTTGCCAATATTTTGTTGAATATTTTTGCGTCAATGTTCATGAGGGAGATTAGTCTCTAATTCTCTGTCTTTGTTACATTTTTTGTGTGGTTTTGTTGTCATGGTAACTGTAGCCTCATAAAAAGAGGTTGGTAATGTTCCTTCTCTTTCTATTGTGTGGAACAATTTGAAGAGTATTGGTACTAGTTCTTCTTTGAAAATCCAGTAGAATTCTGCACTGAATCCATCTAGTCCTGGACTTTTTTTGTTTGGGAGTCTTTTAATGCCTGTTTCTATTTCCTTAGGGGTTATTGGTCAATTTAAATAGTTTATCTGGTCTTGGTTTAACTTTGTACATGGTATCTATCCAGAAAATTGTCCATTGCTTTCAGATTTTCCAATTTTGTGGAGTACAGGTTTTTGAAGTATGACCTGATGATTTTCTGGATTTCCTCATTCTCTTTTGTTATGTCTCCCTTTTCATTTCTGATTTTGTTAATTTGAGTGCTCTCTCTCTCTCTTTCTGCCTTTTTGTTAATTTGGATAATGGCTTGTCTATCTTATTGATTTTCTCAAAGAATCAACTCTTTGTTTCATTGATTCTTTCTACTCTTCTCTTTGTTTTCATTTTATTGATTTCAGCCCTCAATTTAATTATATTCTGGTGTCTGTTCCTCCTGGTTGAGTTTGCTTCTTTTTGTTCTAGAGCTTTCAGGTGTGTTGTTATGTCACTAGTGAGAGATTTCTCCATTTTCTTTATGTGGACATTTAATGCTATGAATTTTCCTTTCATTGTGTCCCATAAGCTTGTATATTTTGTACATTCATTTTCCTTGTATTCTAGGAAATCTTTAATTTCTTTAATTATTTCTTCCTTGACACATTGGTTATTTATTTAGGCATTATTCAGTTTCCCTGAGACTGTAGGCTTTCTGTAATTTTTGCTGTTGAAATCTAACTTTAAGTCATTTTGGTCTGATACAATACAGGAGGTTATTACAATTTTTTGTATCTGTTGAGATTTGCTTTGAGACCTAGCATGTGGTCGATTTTAGAGAAGGTTCCATGGGGTGCTGAGAAGAAGGTATATTCTTTTGTGTTAGGGTAGAATATTCTGTGGGTATCTATTAAGTTCATTTGAGTCATAATGTCTGTTATTTTCCTTATTTCTCTGTTAAGTTTCTGTCTCGCTGACCTGTTCTTTGATGAGAGTGGGATATTGAAGACTACCACTACTAGTGCATAGAGTTTGATGTGCAATTTAAGCTTTAGTAATATTTATTTTACAAATACAGGTGCCCTTGTATTGGGGGCATAAATGTTCAGAATTGAGACTTCATCTTGGTGGACTTTCCCTGTGATAAATATGTAATGTCCTTCCTGATATTTTTCGGTTGATTTTAGTTTGAAGTCTATTTTATTAGATATTAGGAATATAAAGCAGCTTGCTTCTTAAGTCCATTTGATTGGCAAGTCTTTTCCCAGCCTTTTATTCTGAGGCAGTGTCTCTCTCTGAAGTTGAGGTATGTTTCTTGTATGTAGCAGAAGGATGGATCCTATTTTCATATCTATTCTGTTATCTTGTGTTTTTTATAGGTGAATTGAGACCGCCAATATGAATGGATATTAATGACCAGTGATTCCTAATTCCTGTTATTTTTTGGTGGTAGTGTTGTGTGTTTCTCTTCTTTGGTATTTGTTGGTGTGGGATTATCTATTGCTTGTATTTTCATGGGTTTATCTAACTTCATTAGATTGGATTTTTCCTTCTAGTGCTTTCTTTTTTTTTTTTTTTTTTTTTTTTTGGTTTTTCAAGACAGGGATTCTCTGTGTAGCTTTGCGCCTTTCCTGGAACTCACTTGGTAGCCCAGGCTGGCCTCGAACTCACAGAGATCTGCCTGGCTCTGCCTCCTGAGTGCTGGGATTAAAAGCGTGCGCCACCACCGCCCGGCCCTTCTAGTGCTTTCTATAGCACTGGGTTTGTCAATAGTTATTGTTTAAATCTGGTTTTATCATGGAATATTTTGTTTACTTTGTCTATGGTGATTGAGGGTTTTGCTGGGTATAATAGTCTAGGTTGCTATCCATGGTCTCTTAGTGTCAGCAAAACCTCTGTACAAGACCTTTTCTCTTTCTGATTTTCCATTGAGAAGTCATGTGTTATTCTGATGGGTCTGCCTTTATATGTTACTTGGCCTTTTTCCTTTACAGCTCTTAATATGTTTTTCCTTATTCTACATGCTTAGTGGTATGATTATAATGTGATGTGTGGACTTTTTTTTGGATCCAGTCTATTTGGTGTTCTGTAAGCTTCTTGTATCTTCACTGGCATTTCCTTCTTTAGGTTGGGAAAATTTTCTTCTATGATTTTGTTGAATATATTTTCTGTGCCTTCGAGTTTGTATTCTTCTCCTTCTTCTGTTCCCATTATTCTTAAGTTTGGACTTTTGTGGTGTCACAAATGTTGGAAGTTTTGTGTTATGACTTTGTTTGCTTTAGTGCTTTCATTGACTGATAAATCTACTTCCTCTATCATATCTTCCACACCAGAGAGTCTCTCTTCCATCTCTTGCATTCTGTTTTCTTATGCTTGCATCTGTAGTTCTGTTCCTTTACTCAGCTTTTTCATTTCCAGCATTCCCTCAGGTTTTTTGTCTTCTTTATTGTCTCTATTTCACTTTTTAAATATTGAATTGTTTCCTTCACCTGTTTAATTGCCTTTTCTTGGCTTTCTTTAAGGGAGTTATTGATTTCTCTCAATTTTTTGTCTTTTCCTTGATTAATTTAGTTGAATTTTTCACTTCCTCTTTAAAGGTCTCTATCTTCTTCTTAAAGTCATATTTATGGTCATTTTCTTCTGCTTTTTCTGTGTTTGGATATTCAGGTCTTCCTGATGTAGAATCACTAGGTTCTGATGGTGACACATTGGTCTTTATGTTGTTGACTGTATTTTTGTACTGCCATCTATCTATCTCTTCCTCTACTCAGTGCAAGCAATGTTTGTGTCTGAGGGAGCCTCTCCTGGTACTTTTGATACTCTCCATCCAAAGGGAGCTCTTCTTTTTTATTTTTTATCATTTTTTTCATTTTTTATTATTAAGAAATCTTTATTCATTTTACGTACCAACCACAGATTCCCCCTTCTCCAACTTCCTGCCTCCCACCCTTCCCCCAACACACCCCAATTTCCTCTTCCTTTAAGTCAAGGTCTCCCATGGGGAGTCAGCAGAGCATGGTACATTCAGGTGAGGCAAGTCCAAGACCCTCCCTCTGCATCAAGACTTTGCAAAGTGTCAAACCTTAGGCACTGGGCTACAAAAAGCCTGCTCATGCACCAGGGATGGATCCTGATATCCCTGTCTGTGGGCTCCCAAAATAGTTCAAGCTAAACAACTGTCTTGTGTATCCAAAGGGCCTTGTCCAGTCCCATGGGAGCTCCACAGTTATTGGTCAACAGTTCATGAGTTTCTGCTAGAGCTCTTGTTCTAATCCCAGATATTGGTCCATCCAATCAGTCCTGATGGACTCTATCACTCAGGGAAACACTCTTAGTTTAAATGGCACTGGTATGTTCTGTCTCAGGGAGCAGCTGAAGTCTCAGAGGGTGAGTAGGTTTGGAAGGGGTGAGGCTTGTGGATTACAGGGTCTGGTGTGGGATGGTAGTAGTCTGACTTGTCTGCAAGAGACCTGCCTTCTGGCCTGAACCTGGGACTGCAATGGGTGGTGGTGTGGAGCACAGGGTTGTGCTCCTGGGCCCAAAGCCTAGAGGCTAGGGTGTTTGACTATGAGTACAAAGACTCACCTCTTAGGGTGGCCTCTGTCCCAGGGAGCAGTTACAGTCTCTAAAGAAGTATGTATTGCAAGTAGTAATTTATTCTGTCATTAAGATTGAGAAAGTCTTGTTATATAGCCTAGTCTGAGATGGTAGTTCTTAGATATAAGGAACTTTATGATTATATCTTCTCTGTAGGCTGTTTGAATTACTAATACTTTTCATTCATTTTGCCAGAGAAAAGGCTTTGGCCATTATCTAGAGAAAATCATTCCCAATAACAGAATGGAATTCTGGAATCTGGCTATCAGAATAATTTTTTTGTCACAGACTACAACTGGAATTCTGGGAAATTTATCTGTACTTTACTCCTATCTAGTCCGGTATGGAGAATGCAAATTAAAGCCCACAGATTTGATTCTTATGCACCTAATGACAGCCAACACCATAATCATTCTCTCTACAGGTGTGGCACACACAATGGCAACTTTTGCGTTGAAGCAGTTTTTAAATGACTTTGGATGCAGATTAATTTTGTACATTCAAAGAATTGGACGGAGTGTGTCTATTGGCACCACCTGCCTCCTGAGTGTCTTCCAAGCCATGAACATCAGTAACAAGAAATCCTGCTGTAAAGATCAAAAAGTCAAAGCTTCAAAGTACATTGGCTGCTCCATTGCCATTCTCTGGGTCTTGTATATGTTGATAAATACCATTTTCTTTGTGTATCCAATTATCAAAAGTAATATTAAAAATGTGACAAGAGAACGAGACTTTGGATACTGTTCAACTGATGAACAGGATGAAATCAAGGACTCAATCTATGTAGTATTAGTGGTGTGCCCTGAAGTCTTTTTTTCTGTTCTTATTGCCTATTCCAGTGGCTTCATGATTGTCATTCTGTACAAACACAAGCAGAAGGTTCAATATATCCGTAGCACTCATGATTCCAATAGAAACTCTCCTGAGTCAAGAGCTACAAAGAAGATCTTGATCCTGATATCTACATTTCTGGCTTTTTATACACTCTCCTCAATCTTACAAGGCTGCATTGCTCTTTTGCATAATCACAATTGGTGGCTTGTGAACATCACTTGCCTAACTTCTTTGTGTTTTCCCTGCTTTGGACCCTTTATTCTTATAAATCATCATTTCATGGTACCTAGACTCAGTTTGATCTGGATAAGGAATAAAAATTAATAATTCTTATTTTAAATATGTAAATGATATGTTTTGTGTGGTATCCGGTTGTTTACTCACCCATCACCCTCACAAAGTCAATACAGAAAGTTAAGGATCTTGTCTTTTAACTATTAATCAAAATGATGTGTCTGGAAGTTTTGTCAGATGGTTTAATTAGCAGCCTGCATGAGCTCATCCCATTGCATGAGGACCATCTCACTCTTTATCTTACACCTTCTTGGCTTCCCTTTGTCCAGCTGATGTACAAAGGAACTTGCAAAAAAAATCTCTCATAAAAGCTGCACTGCTTCTGGCTTTCATTCTGTCAGGGCATCTTGAGTACTTGGATACTTGGCAGATAGCTTGTCATCCCACAGTCTAACTGCCTAGGAAACTGAACCCATGGCTAGTCATGAAGCTTTGCTTCAGGAGGCCCTGGTTCATTCACAACTATTCTAGTCTCCATTAGTACCAGGAAACTTCTTCAGCCATAACATCCCATATACTCTACTTACAGCTCCGTGAGAGACAATCAGTTTGCTTTGCTCTGAAGCTTATCACAATAGTCCTCAGCACTGTCTCTGATAAAGTATCTTTCCTTGCCACTTAGGGAAAAAATGTGATCAATATTTTTCCCTTCATACAGAAATTGATGGGAATGAATGATGGTTTCAATATTATCTTGACATTTTTTGCCAATATCTTTTGAGAAATTTTGCATCAAAGTTCATTAGGGAGACTAGTCTGTAAATTTCCTTTGTTGTGATGTTGTTATCTGGTTTGCCATGGATGTAATGCTGGCTTCATCACAAGAGTTTAGAAGCCAATTAGTATAGTCCTTATGGAAATCAGTTTGGAAGTTCCTTAAAAAACTAAAAATAAAACAAATACTATATGACCCAGCTATTCCACTCCTGGGCAGATACCCAGAGAACTCCATATCCTTCCACAGAAATATATTTGCATCCATGTTTATTGTTGCTCTGTTTACTATAGCATAGAAATGGAGCCCTCCTCTGCTTCAGGTCATTAAAGAATATACAGCAGATGACAACCAGCATTTTATCGATTGACCTACCAAATGAATAACTCTGTGTTGGGGAGCCCCACTAGGCAAAGTCCATGGAGGAGTCCCATTAAACGTAATCCATGGGGTGATTTCACTAGGCACAGTCTATGGGGAAGTCCCTGGGGTAGGCCTATGAGGTAAAGTCTGTGAGGTGACTGGCTGTGGATACTAATTTGTAGCTAGAGTTTTCCAGTCCTGCCTGGCCTAGGGTCAGTGTCGCGTCTACCTCGACCAGCAAGGAAGACACAACACCGAGCTCTTCTTCAAGCTGTTTTTTATTCAGGACTTTTCAAAATCTGTGTCCTTTGTTCTTCTCCCCTAGGGAGAGCCCGCCCAGCCTTATATAGGTCTCAGACCACCAGCCATCATGCGCCACATGGGATTCCTGGATAGGTGCACGTATGCCTTAGCAAGCCGAAATTTAAAGCCAAGCCAAATAAGGAGTTGTTTAACATAGAGAGCACTCGCCATCGGGAGGGCGGGGGGCGAAAGCCAGAGCCATCTCAAGAATGCAGCTTCACGCAGCTCTCTACAGGTCAGGACAAATCTCACTCGCCTGCCAGTCCCACAGCTGCTCAGACCCAACTGAGTAAACACACAGAGACTTATATTGCTTATAAACTGTATGGATACTGCTGGCTTCTTGTTATCTAGTTCTTATACCTTAAATTAACCCATTTCTATTAATCTATAAGTTGCCAGATGGCTTGTGGCTTACCGGTATCTTTCACATGTTGCTTGTCATGGCATCGGTTGGCAGCATCTCTCTTCCTCAGCCTTCCACTTCCCAGAATTCTCTTCTCTGCTTGGCCCACCTATACTTCCTGCCTGGTTACTGGCCAATCAGTGTTTTGCTTATTAACCAATCAGAGCAACAACTTAACAAATAGAACATCCCACATCACTAATTGTTTTCCTCCTGTAGCTTTCTCATGTGATACCACCTCACCTCCCTAGAAAGAAGAGCTTTGACGATCTTTCCATGGCATTTTGGCCATGTGTTTTACACTTTTGGGGCACAATTGTCAGTAATTGGTCAGAAAGATGACTTTTTCTTATTCTGTACAATTTTGATAAATAAAATATACTTCCACAACCAGGCCTTCAGCTAAAGACCTTAGCAAATTCAAAATAAGATTTGTTGCCCTGGAGATAAAGTGCTTAAAGACAAGTTCCCAGGAGTTTAAAAAGGTCAGGCATGAAACAACTTCAGTTACAGTTCTTTTGCTTAAAGAAAAAGCCTAATTGATAACAATTAAAGACATAGCTCACACTCTCAGTGATGGACTTTCCACACATATTCCTAACCTCATTTTTATGTAACAAAATTCAAAGTCCAGCTAACTGTTTATGCAGGGTGGTAAGGTGGTGGCACATGAGAAAGTTACAGACTTCTTCCCTTTTCTCCCACGGTGTTGTATGAGCCCTGAAGGGATGGATATGAGAAAACATCCAATTTGCCAGCCCTAATGTCGGAAATACTTTGAACAAAACCCAGCATTCCTTCATCATAAATACCATGGAGTGTCAAGAGATATATGTATAATATCTCACCATAATAAAGGCTACATCCTCCAAACCTACAACCATGGGTTAGGACCCAGGAATATGAAACACAGGAGTCACATGCATACTGACCACTTACACTTATGTTTAACCTTAAAAAGTATCCACAATTTTTCTAAATACTATCATATTTGGAATATATCCTGCAAAACCCAAGTCCTTGGAAAGCGTTTTCTATTTGAACCATATCAATAAAGGAATAGATTGCGAGAAAGATAAAGACATGATGATGGATGAAGGAATACAAAAACCTGAAGGGAACTAGGGATGAGAGAACAACTGTGAATATGAGTTGGATAAAAATGTTCCCAAAAGACAAAAACTCTAGGTGTCAGGAGTATGTATTACTGTCATAGAGGAGTGGAAAATGCCTAAAATTTGAGAGGCAGAGCATTTAGAGTCAAATACAGAGGACAGAGGATTTAGTCTAAGGTATTTCAATTGGGAAGAAAAATAAAACAAGTGAATGGAAGATACAGATGCTTGACAAGGGACTGAATTCTAGGAAGGTCACTGCTAAGAAGCCTAAACTAACAAAACTCAGTTTTTAGGGTGGAAAAAGGAAGCAATGGAGACTACTGAGGTATGTTGAGGTATACTGGATTTCTGAAAGTCACAGTGGTAGAAAGTTGGTGGATTGAGACAATGCTTTTAAAATGACCCTGTGAAACCTCTGAACTTTTTTTCTGACCCTAGATATTGTTCTATAGTAAAAAGCACTCACTATGCCTCAGAGAGCACATGGCACTAACAACGTTTACTCTGAATCAATGCCCAGGTTTAGACACAGTAACACCGATCAACATGCTTAGGCATATTCCAGATGTTGGATTTAGAACTTTGCTTTGTAATGTTGGGGTTGGCCATGGATATGATCATACATGTTGAGACTCATTATTTTATGTAATTAATATTCTATAAGAAATAAAATCTACCAGCATAGGGGTGCCATACTTTGCTCAGTTCTCTCCTTCTTGGCATAAAGGGTGACATCTTCCTTGTCCCCCAGCTGAATTTCAAATTCATAGTCTCTTTTGCTATATATATATATATATAATTAAGCATATATGATGACATTTAATTAATTACATAATATACATATAGAATAACATATATTAAATATGATTGTTTTATAATAATTACCATTGCTGTCATATTTGAAATCTGCTAAATTCATTTAGTGTTGATCATTTGTATATATTTTTAGGCACGACTACATTACGTTGGATAACCAATCCCTAGGGAAGACTGATACTCCTTTTATTTACTGCACAAATTAATTATCTGTAGCTTTCCATGTAGAAGTGGAGCCTTGTTCAGATTTCCTGTCCATGTTGGCATGCAAAGTGGTTCTGCCACTTGTTCAGGTCTTGTTTAGAAAACCATATTCCTGAAATTTCATGAATAACCTTAAGGCTGGCTTAAGAGGAGAGATCCCATGGCTGGTATTGTAAACTTAGCTTACTAGTTTCATGGCTGATGAGGTCATTATGCTAGACGTGAACTTACTATGTCCATCTTCCTAAACCATTATCATTTAAAATTGCATTGTATGTAAATATTCTGAGACCCATAGGCAAGAGTGGTTCTAAGCCCTCATCAGCAAAGAAACTTATATTTGTAGCAGATAGAAATTATCACAGTAGTCTACAACTGGAAAAATGCAGAAAACAGCTGATTCTAGGGTGGCCAGCCCTGATTTAATACACCTCCAACACTTTCCCTACAACCAAGACTCAGAAAACAACATGGAAGAGTGGAAATGTAAAATTCAGAGGACTATGACATATGGTGAGAGATTAGATCCTCTCTATAGAACAAGGAAGCAGTATATATAGGCTCTTTCTACCTATCTGCACATTTCCTTTATTTACTCCTATATTTACATCCATATAACAATCACTATCCAGGATGTACATATGAGAGAAAATATATGCTATTTTTAACAAGCAAATCCATTTTGCTGAAATTTTATTTTATTTTTTCTACAAAACTGAGTAATTCACAAACACCCCACCCAAATACACACAATGTATCAATGATTAAGATGCATTCTCTTCTGAGGACTTAATTTCTATGATACATACAGCCCCAGTGTTGACATTTCTCTATTCTCAATGATCTCAAATAAAAGAATTGGTAGTAGTTTTAGTATTTACATCCATCTTTAGGTATTGTCCTGATTATAGAAAAATTCCATTAAGTGTTTACTTATAGGACTGATAAAATGAGAGAACACAACAGAAAAAAGAAATGAAGGAGGTAGACAATGTAAATGTTGGAACTCTGAATTATAACATGTTGTTTGACATTAGTAAGCACAGTACAGCATGGAAACTGGGGTGCAGTGGCTGATGAGCAGAAAGGGACAATGATGTAGCCA